ATAGAACATAAATAATAAAAATGTACCTGGTTTAAAACACTTTTGTGGTCATACTGTGGAATGAGTTCACACTGAAACGAGATATTCATTCAAAAATGTTGCGGGAAATTACATATAAGAAGAAGTAGTAGAAAAAGAATGAGGCTACTAATGCTAAATGCTAATGCTAAGGTTACAATAACTGTATTTCTGCGAACAAGCACCACGCCATTGAAACATCAACTTTGTTACAATTTTATTTCACCTTGCTATGTGTTTATAAAGCATATTTAAACGTTTTCCGGGGACAGATTGAGCCGGGGATTGGCCACCAAAGCCAGGCAGGCATTTGGTATGATCACCATAGCCATATGAGGCCGGCCGCCGGAGGGCTTTCCTTTGCTTCCAGCTGTCAGATTGTAAACAAAGTAACGTGACTGGTGGCCGATGACAGCGCTGAGCGCTGACAAGGTGTGTTTTATTGCAGCGAGACGCTACAATACTAATTGTGGGCTTATTATGTTGATTCAACCACAACAGAAAAAAAGACGTTCGCTCTCTAGAGGGGCAGGTCAGCCAAAGAGGGAAAATGGGCTGATGCCCGGGCAACATGAGCCCGTACCTGTGCACGTCCCTGCTCAGCTTGAAGCTCGGTGATTGGATGTTTTAGTCGCAATGCACGTTGGGATATGGTGTTAATGCGATATGATATCCGAAAAACATTTCAGAGTTTAGGATGGCCGAAGACACTACACTACCCATAATCCTCAGCTATCGTTTGGGACTACAGTCCCGTTGCTTGACAAACCCCGTGATTAATCTTCAAGCTCTGGGATTGGATGTTGGAGTGGCAGTGCGCCAAGGTTACACCGAGCGTCAAACAGCTCTTTGAAATGGAACGAAACCACGGCAGACTATTCAAAACTGGACTCGAACGCCCCCCCAGAACTACACATGCTGGCTATTGTGTGTCGCACCGCTGCCGCTTGGTACAGAACTCATCTGTCCTTCCTCCTCATCCTGGCCTACAGGTTTAAAATAACCTGTAAGCTTCGGCATTTGTTGTAATAGCTGCTTGTCTCGAAACTCCTTTTCCCTCAACAATTTCCTTTTCCGAGCGCCACTCTCAAACTTTTTCTTCTCCGACATTTTCTCCTAAACAACCTTCATCTGTCACTCAATCACTCGCAATTTGAATACGTCACATGTGCAACATATTCTCATTCTGATTGGCTGTTAAGTGGTGCCCACTGACTGTTTCGGAGTCATCATCTTTGAGAAAAATCTCTGGAATCCATCGATCTGATTGATTAGCGGAGCAAATGATCAAAATACTACGGAGGGAAGATATTTCCGTTTGGATTACTGGTCTGGGGGAAGCTCGCAAGTGTGTGTGTGTGTGTGTGTGTGTGTGTGTGCGTGTATACGTGTGTGCGTTTGTGTATTTTTGAGTTTGTGTGTATTATGTTTGTTTCCTGGGGAAAACCCTCACGAGAAACACCGGCTGTTGTTATAACTGCTGTGACGTTAAGTTACTCCGTTCTCCGCTTGTAATTATGCCGTTACAAGCTTCAGAGTTGTATTTATCATCTGAATTTGCCGAAACAAGTTTAATATTCTGAAAGCCAAGACTTTGTTTATTTGAAATCAGATGAAAACAAACTGTAACGGACACTGCCGTGTTATCTATGATTACTATACGCCTTACATTCATAATGTCAGCCGGAGGGAGGGGGGGCGGCGCTGCGGAAGAGCAGAGTGGTGAGGGAGAGCTGTCTTCTTCCCTTTACAAGCTTCAAAAATGTATTTATCATGTGATTTTGGAAATAAAAGTTTCATATTCTGAAAGCCAAGACTTTGTTTATTTAACATTTTTTTTAAAACACCCGAAATAAAAAAAAGAAATTGTGCATTTTTTTTGTATTTCTTTTTGTATTGGCTCATGATAGGCCCCCGATCTCCGTAGGCCCCTGGGCCCAGGTCAGCCCGTGCATTAAGGCGGCCTTGACCCCTGGAGGTTTAGGCGATAGGAAACAAATTGGTGTGTACAAATTTAAAACATGTAATTACTAAATGGGTGAAAATCGCTTGTATCCATAATGGGCAGCATTAATATATACCCACATGACAGCTCATTGTTACTTTGTAATTCTACTCCACTACAATTCAGAGGTTAACCTGGTATTTTTACTCCACTGCATTTATTTTAGTTACTTTGCAGATTCTGATTAATGATGTGAAATATAAACAACCCTTAAATCAGACTTTAGTTACACCTGAGAAAAATTCAGGGAAGGTGATTGTCAAGTGCCAACAATCAGGAGAGATATTTGATAGTTGGTGCTTGAGAAGACTAAACATTTATCTGCAGATCTCTATAAAGTATATTCATTACTCGTTATTCTCTACTAATAGTTCATTAAAGACTGTATATTATGGCTATTTTGCACATCCCTTTCAAGATTTCAAGATTTTCAAAGGTTTATTGACATATCATATACATACGGTGTAGTTATGCAATGAATGAAAAACTTGGGTCGCAGGTTCCTCAACAGCACATTACAAGACATCTATCAATATGTGTGTATACCTCCAGCATTAAACTGTCAAATTCTGCACATTTCTTATTCTATCTACATATATAAGAGTATAATTAATGTGTATAATATCAGTTAAAAGAAGTGCTTCAACATAGTTAACATTGCAGGAAAGCAATATATTAGACATTAAGTACTTTGTCAGGCTTAATATGTATCTGTAGATAGATACCCCCAAAGCTTTTTTCTTATTTGAAAGAAGACCTTAACCTAAAGTATTCTTTAATGTGTTAATAAAGGTTAATTAGTTTGTCTGTTTTGCACATCCTCATATTAATATCTTTGTACATCCTGCACTAAACTGTTTTATTGTAGAGATCACTTATAGTATATTCTTCTTCTATATTTCTATCATTGACCTTCTACTTTCCCCCTATGAAAGTATGTACTCTTAATATGTTTTTCATCAAATAACATTATTCAACAAAAATAATTCAATAACGTGCCTTAACCACTAGGCGGTGCACACAAGGTACACACAGCCATAATAACTTTGTATTATTAGTGTAGGACACTTATGTATGTATAACATCTGAAGATGTGTAGTTTTATTCATGTTTTTACATAATTTTACAGGATATTGCTATACTATTTCTCATGTTTTACTTCTACACATTAATATCTGATATGTAAAACATCACAGACAGAAAGGCATATCCGTCATTTAATGGTAAGCTATTGAAATTGTGATTCCATAGCTGTGTCTCCCATCACCCAAAACCCCTGACTATTCTCTCAACTCAGTATTTACATTCTTATATTCAAAGAAAATCAGTAATATCTTTAAAAACTACAAGTCCTTTTCTATCAGCTGTGCACAGTTATGGTGTAAATACAGCCTATCTACCAATTGGATCAAATATAAAAGTCAGCCGAATTACTATTGATACTGCAAGGAGACGTATTGTGTGAAGAGAAATGGAAGATGTTGTTTAATTGCTGATATATTTATGATCCACGTCACGTATTCAGTTTTGGCGGCAGTTCCTCCAGTTTGTCCAGAAGTCTTCTCATCAGGCCTCTATAAATAGAGAACTACAGCAGATGTGTAATATGTAATGCAGCCGAACCGTGTATTACAATGCCGTTATGTGATGACTTTCAAAGAGAAAAGCAAGAACACTCAGAATAAAGTATTATTTTCTTTTTTTAAATGTTTTTCGGATTTCATATCGCATTAACACCATATCCCAACGTGCATTGCGGCTAAAACATCCAATCACCGAGCTTCTAGCTGAGGATCTTGGGTAATCGGTTCAGTGGCTGTGTATCGCAATGATGCTCGAAATGTCCCTTATAGGTCTACGTCTGTTTCCGGTGACTTCATTTTGAAATTCAGTTCCTGACGGACGCCAAAAAAGCCCGAGATTATAGAATCAAACGAATAAATAAAAACAAGGATAATTGTGTGTTATTGGTGAGTAAATAACAGTGTGTTATTTAGTAAATAATAACAAATTAGAAGGAAAAAAAGATTTTTAAAAAATACAGATTTCAGTATTCTGAGGCTCTGAGCCCAATTTATTTTCCTCACAGACGGCAAAAAAAATCGACATTATACGATTGAAAATAAAAACAATAATCGTGGCTTGATATTGAGTAAGAACATGTTTTTTATGAACCCCACAGCTTCCGGTCTTCCAAGACCCGACCAGACAAAACGTGGCGTATCATATGCACACAAAACTCGGCCTCAGAACTCAATGGGAATGATTAGCGTATCATTATGCAAGCAAAATCGGACTTCTGCGTATCTATTGCACGCATTTCCAATGTGTAAAGTCTTGTCATTTGTACACAGACTGAAGAGAGTGGGTTGAACTAAATATGTAAACAAAATGTAGTGGAATGAATGTATAAAGTAGCATACTATAAAAATACCCCTTTAAAATACAAATACCAATAGTTTTTACTTAAGTACAGTACTTGAGTAAATATACTTAGTTACATTACACCACTGCCACAGCAGTGGAGCAGTGTGGTGTAGGCAGACCCAGATGTTAGGGCTCCTAACATTAGCCAGAAAACAAACTTCATAAATCCCATATGTGAAGCTTTAGAAGGTACTAGGTCCTTTACTTATTTGATTTTATTTGTGGTTTATTTTATTCCTAATTTTCCTTTTATTTTGATTCCTTGCAAAACATGTTATTACATTTTTGAAGAGTGCTCTTCGCAGCAGCTCGTCTTCAAATGTAACTCCAGCAGATGGAAGAGTCTCTCTCAGGATTATTGCTCAGCTTCTCCTCCTCTCCTCTCCTCTCCTCTACTCCTCTCCTCCTCTCTCCTCCCCTATCCTCTACTCCTCTCCTCCTCTCTCCATCTGCAACTCTTCAATAAGAAAGAGAGATAAATGAAACGTGAGTGAGGGTCTGAGAGCGTCTCAGGTCAAAGGTTAAAGCTGCTCTTCGTCTGTCCTCTCAGGTGGGCGTTCACCCTCATCATCATTTCATCCTACACGGCCAACTTGGCAGCGTTCCTGACCGTCCAGAGGATGGAGGTTCCCATCGAGTCTCCTGATGATCTGGCTGATCAGACCAACATCCAGTACGGAACCATCCACGGAGGCTCCACCATGACCTTCTTCATGGTGAGACAGGGAGAAATGTTTCTATTGTTTCAGGGGAGGGAGATTGGGGGTGGGGTGGTAGTGGTGCGCCGGAGCCTCGCAGCGGGGAAACTGAAACTGTGGAGCGTTCGCGCATAATCGTCCGCAAGATGAGGCCCCCTCAGCAAGGTGAGGCCCCCTCAGCAAGGTGAGGCCCCACGCAGTCTGCGTGATCTGCGTGTAGGGAGGGGCGGCCCTCATCCTACTGACCTTTAAAGATGAAAAGAACATCTACACATGCTTATTGTAGTTGTAAGTGCACTGCCTTGCTGCCTGTAGCACCATCCTTGATGGAGCATATGTGTGGGCTGGTCTGTATAGTTTAATGTACAGGAAAGGAGTGAGCAGAGGGTAGTGTTGTCCATTCTTGTTCTGTTTTCTGTGACTATCTTCCTCACCATGCTGAACACCCTCTCAGACTCTCAGAGACGCGCTACCATGGAAACCAAACAATGGTGTAGATGTATTGAAGTCCGAGTGGAAACAGGTCGTGACTCACAAAGTCAGAAATCGGGAGAAATGCGGGAGAAATATAACCCTGGGAGGAAACCGGGAGAGGGCAATGAAATCGGGAGTCTCCCGTGAAAATCGGGAGGGTTGGCAAGTATGGGAGGGACTGTAGAGGTGTTGGGCCTTCACGTTGGACCCAGCATGTTATATTCTTGGTATACTGTCCAACAATATGACAGAAAGTCATTAAAAAGGATTTCATTACTGAGAGTTCAGCTTTTAATGGCAAAAAAAAAGATAAAAGTGTTCTGGTTGAAGCCCACCCCCCAACACAATGCAGTTGGTTATAACATCAATCACAGCGATCAACAGAGTTGAAATCAGACACGTTTCAAGACAAAGATGGTCAGCTTTAATACAGTCAGCCATTCAACTTTGTATTCTTGTTTTTTCTGTTATTTATTGTAATTACTTAAAAAAAGAATGTTCACTTGTTATTGTTTGGCTAACATTACAGGTTTTGTGTGTTCTATTCATTATACAGAGCCCCTAAAAAAAACCTTCTCGTCGCACACCGGCACGTAATAGCTCTGCACCTCTGGCCAAAATGTTCTTAAATTGAAGTTCTAGTTTGAAATATAACTCAATTTATTCATGGCTTGTAATTTCCACACATAAACATAATGTTCTGCATTAACTGGTGGTCCCCTGTGTGCACCGCTCACTTTCTCATACGCGCCAGAAAAATGTGTTCTACTGTTTGCCCATGTCCCCTTAGTGGCTGTGTATGTTGATGTTGTATATTTTTAAATGAGCTGCTCATCAATATATGATACAAAAAATATTATTACCAATGAGGATGTTTTTCCTAATAAACTCCTGACATAAATTAATGTAATTTGAGGTAGAACAATTGTAATGTGCAAGATTTCCTCATCTCATTTGAATTGTGTCTGTTATAACATTTTTAAAGTCTAAAACAAAATAGAAACGTTATTCTAATCCTATGTGAAATAGTTTGACTAAAATTACAAAATGATTTGTTTTCTTCTGCAAAGTTCAGTATAATCGGATAATTAAAAACTTATATTAGAAAAAGGATTAAGACTGTATTAAAAAAAGCTGAAAAAATGAAGAGAAAACATTTGGACGAAGACCAAAATATAATGAATCTTGGTCCACTAACACTGGACTCAAACACTTGAAGTCATTGTGTAAACTGTGAGGTATAAAACCCCTGCTGTGTTCCTGCAGAACTCTCGGTACCAGACGTACCAGCGCATGTGGAACTACATGTACTCCAAGCAGCCCAGCGTGTTCGTGAAAAGCACCGAGGAGGGCATCGCCCGCGTCATCAACTCCAAGTACGCCTTCCTGATGGAGAGCACCATGAACGAGTACTACCGCAGCCTGAACTGCAACCTGACCCAGATCGGAGGCCTGCTGGACACCAAGGGATACGGCATCGGCATGCCTCTGGGTGAGTGGTCCACCACCACAGGCCTCTATGAATGTGTGTTACTGCTGACTCGTGAATGTTAAAAAACTGTTTGAGGGCTGGTAATGGGGGGTCGAGGGGTCCATTTACCATAGAATGACATTTACATTTTGAAAATGAGACCATTCGGATAAAAACCCACACTTTGGTGGTAGCAATTTTTTCATCCGACAAATTAGATAAACTCTAAACATAATGCTTGTTAGATTATTTTTTATTTGCTCCTAACACGGCCTGGATTCTTCGGCTGCACATAATAATACTTCCATAATTCCATAAGCAAATCAGAATTTAAGACAGACTTTAATAAAGGGGAACATAATGCAAACCTACAAAAATGATCAGGAATATTTTTTTATGTATTTAACCTTTATTTAACCAGATAAAAAGCATTGAGATAAAATCTCATTTACAATGCTGACCTGGCCAAGAAGGCAGCAACGTTACACAAGTTTACACATAACACAGACATAGTGTGCAACTCGATTTTGACAGGATAACAACTGGTGACTTCTAGAATTGTGTGAGTAACATTCTGTCTTTAGACTTCTCTGTTTCAGTGTGTGTACTCTGTATTAATGCTCTGTAGTTGATCTGACTGAAATTGTGATTTTAAATCTCAAAACCGCTACAGTATCTGTCGGGCAGAAACTTGGGACAAGTAATTTGACTGAAACCTTAAAACTGAACTAACTGACTGCTAGGGTTAACTGTGATTTAAACATTTGTAGAATACTAAGAGCTTTATTGAGTAGGTGTAACTGTATTAAGGGTTAAACTCATAACTTTATAACTTAGGGTTTAATGTAATTGTAAAACCATTGGGCCACTTAAAATACAATAACAACTCAGGAGGGAGCCAGTCTTGATTTCCTTTTGAGGGCCACAGAGAGTTAACTAATTAAAGGGGCGTGGCCCCACATCTGTGAGAACTCAGCAATCCATTTTAGGTAGCACTTTCCTGGAGCGTCAGCTTCAGCGTCAGACAGACGAAGACTGACAAAGACATAGGAGTCCTGCGGGAGTAAGACTGACAAAGACAAAGGAGTCCTGCGGGAGTAAGACTGACAAAGACAAAGGAGTCCTGCGGGAGTCACGAGGGAGGCAAAGAGGAGGCAAATCCTACTTTGATTGAGCTAAGTATCGCTGGTGTTTTATTTTCTTTGGTTGTTTAGCCCCTCATGCCATAATCATGTGTATTTTCTCCATTCCTGTTTATGTGTCTTCTCGCAATTATCACTGGCCCCGTGTATCTCCTAATCGATATAACCGGCCTGCTCTCGTCTATCCCACATGCTCCACTGAGATCTAGTTTCAGGCGGCCTGTGGAACTGCCAGTCAGCTGTTCCTAAGGCTGACTTCATCTCTGGCTATGCTTCCCTGCAGTCTCTGGATTTCCTTGCTCTCACTGAGACGTGGATTACTCCATTCAACACATCCACCCCAGCAGCTCTCTCCACAGCATATTCCTTCACCCATACACCCAGACCCACTGGCAGAGGAGGTGGCACTGGTCTCCTGCTCTTTCCCAAATGGAGCTTTTCCCTCTTCAAGCTACCTAACTTCACTCCTTCCACCTTTGAATTCCATGCCGTCACAGTAACCCATCCTATACAGTTAACCATTGTTGTTCTCTACCGTCCACCAGGCGCCTTGGGGGACTTCTTGGAGGAATTAGATCATCTCCTCTCACACATCCCTGAAACTGGCCCTCCCGCTGTACTTCTCGGAGACTTCAACCTCCAGACAGGGAAGATAGATGAACTAACATCTCTGTTAACCGCCTTTGCTTTCTCACTGTCTCCGTCCCCACCAACTCATAAAGCTGGCAATGTCCTTGATCTCATATTCTCAAGGAACTGCACTACTTCTAACCTCTCTGTAAACCCGCTCCACACATCCGATCACTTCTTCATTTCATTCTCTCTACCCCTTTCCAAACATAACAAACTAATCTCTTCTCATCCTGCACCTGTCCGCCGTAACCTTCGTTCCCTCTCCCCCTCTACCTTTGCCTCATCGGTGCTCTCAGCCCTCCCTTCTTCTGACTCGTTCCAACTCCTGCCTCCAAACTCTGCTGCAGAAACTCTCTTCTCTACTCTCTCATCCTCTCTGGACTCTCTCTGTCCTCTCACATCTCGGCAGGCTCGTCAGTCCCCTGCTGCTCCCTGGCTAAATGACGCAGTGCGTGCTAATAGAACCATCCTTCGGGCAGCTGAGCGGAAACGGTGGAAATTCAAACACCATGACGACCACCAAATGGACGCCCATCTGACCTTTGAGGCCCACATTAAACAGCTGTGCAAGAACTCCTTTTATCACCTCAGGAACATCGCCAAACTCTGCCCCACACTCACTCTGTCTGACGCCGAAAAGCTGGTCCATGCCTTTGTCTCCTCCAGGCTGGACTACTGCAATGCACTCCTCATCGGGATCCCTAACAAACGCATCCAGAAGCTCCAATACATTTAGAACAGCGCTGCTAGGATCCTGATGAGGGTGCGCAAATATGATCACATCACCCCCATCCTTAAAGCACTACACTGGCTACCCGTGGAACTGAGGATCGAATTCAAGGTCTCCGTCCTCACCCACCAGTGTGTCCATGGAACTGCCCCTGCTCACCCCCCATACCTCCTTGCGGACCACCCGTTCCAGCAACTCCAACTTCCTCAAACCCCCCAGGACTAAGCTCCGTACTATGGGAGACCGGGCCTTCTGCTCGGCTGCTCCCAGTCTGTGGAATGCTCTCCCCGACCAAATGAGAGCACCACAGACCGTGGAGGCTTTTAAAAAAGGCCTCAAAACCCATCTCTTCAAAAGAGCCTTTGCCTAGACCTTTTTATCACCCTTTTATTTATTTTTTATTTTTGTATTGCTTTTTATTAATTCTACCGTGTTGTGTAATGTTTATTTATACTGTTCATGCTCACTGCTTGTCGCACTTCGGGATTTGAAATCAAATATGAAGTGCTTTATAAATGGAACCCATTATTATTATTATTATTATTATTATTATTATTATTATTACCTCCTAACCTATCAGGCTCTCCTCTCCTCTTTCTCTGCTTCGATCTCTCAGGCAAAAAGCACTTTCTTTCAAGATAAGATCCAATCATCCTATTCCAATCCCAAAAAACTATTTTCCATCTTCTCCACCCTCTTGGACCCAGATCCTCCTTCGCACTCTCCAAGAACTTGGAGTTTCAGGCTCTGCACTTTCCCTCCTCACCTCATACCTCAAAGAATGTACCTACAGGGTAACTTGGAGAGGGTCTGAGTCCGACCCTTGTCAATTAACTACAGGGGTCCCTCAGGGCTCTGTTCTTGGTCCCCTCCTCTTCTCCCTGTACACAAACTCGCTCAGATCTGTCATTAGCCCGCATGGTTTTTCATACCACTGCTATGCTGACGACACCCAATTAATTCTGTCCTTTCCCCGCTCAGAGATAGGGTGACCAGGTCCTAACACACCAAATGTGGGACAAGGAGTATGTTTGTGTGGGACATCCTCTCAACAGCACAGCACACCCCCCAATAACAACAGAGCAGAAAGTGAAGTCAAAATGCAGTAACAATTTAGTATCTTAATAAAGAAAAGTCAACTAAAGCTAACCAAGGCAGCAGGCATTATTCACTTCAAATGTTTAGAAATGCATCTTCCTAATTCAACTAGTGTATTACCTGTAAAAGTAGGAACAGCAACAATTAATAGATAAAATAAACTGTATGGTAAACACTGGTTATTTCTGCTGCTGTTACCTTGTCTGAGTGGCCATCATTTTTTGGTTTGAGTATGAATGTCTCCATAGAGTGGGATGTCTCTTTTTGAGCGACACGTTTCTTGTGAGAATCGCATTCTCTGTGTCTTTTGACGTCGTATTCACCGCCATGTGAAATTGAAAAATTATTCTTGCCAAGATTGCAAAAAACTCTCTGAGAGTCGCCCTGCACTGGCTTCACCCACGGGTACGTGTCTTCCCAGTCTTTGTTGTATGTGCATCTTCTTTTCTTCTTAGCTGTAGTTTCAGTTTCCTCCATTTTGCATAACCTGCTGCGTCGCCTGCGTTATTGACTTTCGTTGTTGTTGTTTGGCCGGGCCGCGGGGGGGTGTGTCAGTGTGTGAGTGAGTTACTCTCATTGGTTAACACTTGATCAGCACCCGCCGTGTGTTACAGTTTGATTGACAGCAAACACAGGGGTGTGTGGGAGTGAGTTACTCTCATTGGTTAACACTTGACCAGCACCCGCCGTGCAGAGCCCTAGAGATACTAATATAATTTGTATCTCTAGGGCTCTGCCGCCGTGTGTTACAGTTTGATTGACAGCAAACACAGCCCCGTGATGATAGCCTTCCCTGCTTTCTCAACAGCCATTGGATACATCTAATTTTAAGAAAAGCGTTTTAGCCAATCAAAATGAAATATGCGAGACATCGTCTCAATTTGCGGGACGCACCAAAAGTCGTGAAAATGCTGTGCAGTCCCACGCAAAGCGGGACATCTGGTCACCCTACACGCATCTCTGCTTGTCTAGCGAACATCTCTCAGTGGATGTCTGCTCATCACCTCAAGCTCAACCTTGACAAGACTGAACTGCTTTTCCTTCCGGGAAAAGATTGTCCCACTCTTGACCTGACAATCAACATCGGCACCACTGTTGTTTCCCCGACTCAGACTGCAAATAATCTGGGTGTGACCCTAGATAACAACCTGTCCTTCACTGCAAACATCGCTGCTACAACCCGCTGCTGCAGATACACACTTTACAACATCAGGAAGATACGTCCCCAGCTGACCCAGAAAGCGACGCAGGTTCTGGCCCAGGCTCTCGTCATCTCACGCCTAGACTACTGCAACTCCTTCCTGGCTGGTCTACCTGCATGTGCCATCCGACCTCTGCAGCTCATCCAGAATGCAGCGGCTCGTCTGGTCTTCAACCGTCCAACATTTTCCCACACCACTCCCCTCCTCCGCTCCCTC